ACCATGCTCTCTTATCTAAAGACCCCACTTCTGGCTTTACAGAATGAGAAGCAGGGGTCACCTAAGGACAAATCAGTCCTAACAGCAGTGGCTTAAGAAGTGTTTATTTCTCAATTAGCCCAAGACTTGTAAGGTTCTCCATGTCAGAGATTCAGGTGGCAAAAAAACTTCCAATTTTGTGCCACAGGATCTAGTTTGGGAAAAGTAGCCATCTATTAATTAAGTTGCAAATGTTTTCTTCTGTGGTTGATTTATCTTCGACTTTGTAAAGCCATGTAAGAAAACTTTAAATGAAACGAATGTACGTTTTTAAAAATTATATGGATTCTGAGTTTTGCCTAAAAGTCTTAAAGTACTTTAACTGGTTTGAAACAAACTGGAGACTTAAATTTTAAATCTTTGGCACAATTTTAACTTGTATGGTATAAAGCATGGCTCCGATGAACTCCTTCCCTCTTCCTGACTATTCTACTGCCTAATCATCATTTATAGCCATTTTTTTTTTCCTTCTACAATGTGAGTCCAGGTCAGCCAAGGTACACAGAGAAACTCTGTCTCAAAAAAAAAAAAACAACGATAACAAAAATAAAACCTATTTGCTTTTTATTTTACTGGGAGATTTCACCTTTTTTTTTTTTCTCTCTTTTGTGCTTACACTTTATACAACTCTATTTTTTTTAATCACCTAGACTAATTCCTGTAACAGGAAATTTTATCTAACATGAAAGGTTTCTTTAAAGGTCTCATTATGTATCCCCGGCCGGATCACAGTAAGTATGCCAGACTGCCACATCAGAGGTCCGCCTGCCTAAGCTGCCCTGTGCCAGGATGAAGGCATGCACCACCATGTGTGTTTTGCTCTTCTCGCTTTTGAAATAGGGTCTTGCAGAGTCTAGGCTGGCCTCATGCTTGCTATGTAGTCAGGGCTGGTCTCAGTGCTCCGATTAGACCAGGGCCACCATAATCAGCTCAGCATCCGTGAAGTCTCCACCCAGTTCACTTTATGGCATATTTCTACCTTGCCTGGAATGAACATGTCAGCATGTTCTGCAATTTTAAATGAATAATAAAGGGTACAAGACATATCAAACTCGGTATTAATGAGCCATTGGCCAATACTCTTGGCTTTTTTTTTTTTTTTTTTTTTGAGATAGTGTCTCATGTAGCCTGAACCAGCCTAAAACTCTTGTAGCTAAGGACCCTGAATTCCTTTCCCTCCTGTTTCAATTGCCCAATTCTTCAATTACGGTCATGTGCTGCCACCCTCAGCTTTCTGTAGAGAATTACCTTCCCAATAAATTTAATTTTTCATGGGGAAAGTGAGTGCATATGGGCAGGTTTTTTTTTTTTTTTCCTTTTTCCCCCTTGTGATATCAGGTCCTAATAAGAACCACTTGTATTTTGCACTATGTTTGCAAAGAATAAGTCTCCCCTAGAGCTAAATTGGTATTTAGGAGGGCTGCGGATGGCTATTCTAGTGTTTGGGGACCAGAGTGAAGTCCTCATACCCAGGCAGAAGTCTGAGATGTCAGAGCTGTGCATTCAGCATAGGTGTCCTCATTCAGCTAGGGATTAGCAGGTTAGCAACAAATGAAGCCAAAGAAGAAAGTGATGGCTTGCGCTGCCTGGTCATGAAGACTTTGAGAGGTATCATCCATACACATTTGGTTAGCTTAAGAACTGGGTGTTTCACTAAGTTTCCCAAGAACTCATCATTGTAAGACACAGCAACTGTTCGAGCATTAGTCTTCCATTAACTAGCGCTCTAACTGCACACGGTTTCACAGGCTAATGAGTGGATGTGCTCCACAGGAGTGTAAGATTTCTAACACGAAGTTGACATTAAACCAACTTGCTCGTATTTGTTAAGTTAAACCCAAACTAACTAAGATCAAAGCATCTTAATGTCTTGATAGCATGTGCTAGTTCATAGGAACACTTATTAACTCTTCCCTTGGATTTAATTACATATTAAGGTGCTTTCAAAACTTGGACTAAACTACGGCCTGGGTGTTTTTGATAACATTTCCATGTTAGAAGCCTGTTTGTTATCTATATTTTGATATTTCGCTGAGGTTACAGAGGATTCCCTACTAGTTACACACACACAGTTCCTTTCGAAGCTACCCTAAGCGAAGTGAAATGTGTATACTGACCAGAGGTTGGTGCTGGGAGTTTTCCAGCACTCTCCACTGAGGTTGGCTCTCAATGAACCTGGAATTTAAAATTCAGCTGACTAGCTTGGCCAACAGTGGTCCTGTTTCTGCCTCTCAAAGATTAGGATTACAGGAGGCTGCCATGCTTGCTCACAGTTTTGTGTGTCCGAGTGCAGCAAACTTTTTTTTTTTTTTTGAGTCATTTCCCTCGCTTTCCTAAGTTTTTGAGGCCTCTTACTGAACATGGAGCTCACTCATACAGCAGCTGGGAAAAGAGGCCCACAGACAGCTGGGCTGACCTCATATTATAGGCATACACCCATCTTTTTCTTCTCAATGGGACCGCTAGGGATCTCAATCCAGGTCCTTAAGGTCACGCAGAATTAATTTTTAGGAAACGAGCCACTGCCCAGCTCCCAACCTTTAAGTATCATCTGAGGTCCATCTCTCTAAATAGGTTCCAAGGGCATCAAGATACTGATCCTCCTAACTGGCCATGGAAAAGCAGAACTACCATTCCCAGCGTGCCTTACAAATATCAGCATCTCTGAATACACTTTAATGTGCCAGAAGCCACAAAACGCTCCTGTGGTTCCATGATCTTAAGAATGTTTCATGTTTGCCTAACAGCGTATCTCTATATAGGTTGATTAATCTTGAATAACTTATTTTTTTCTCCATTTTTATCTTGTGACATTAATTTCTTTAAGCCTCACTGGCCATTTTAATTGGTAAATTAAAATTTCATTAATAGGTAGTACTCACTCCTGGCTGATCCTACAACACTTTTGTATAATGCTAAAACATTAAATATTGAGACACTTACCCATCTTGAAAGGGTCTGACTTTAAAAAACTCTTTCAGAAAGCCAGTCATGATGGGCGCATTCCTTTAAGTGCAGCACTTGGGAGGCAAAGGCAGGTGTCTTTGAGTTTGAGGCCAGCCTGGTCTACAGTGTGATTTCAGGATAGCCAGGCCTACAAACAGAAACCCTGTCTCAAAAATCAAACAAAAATCCCTTCTATTTCAAGCCCCCAAATACTCAGATTAAGGATTACAGTATATACGGTGGTTCTGTAAACCACCTTGCAGATATGAGAGAGAACACCCTGACAGAAACACATATGCTCACTGGAGTATTTACACAAGACGTATGATAAAGCCACTCTGTATTCTTAGCTAAATGTGTCATGGTTGGTAAGGGTACAAAACCAAACATCAGTATGTAAGACTTTTGAATATGTCTTTCATTACAGAAATGATTACAGAGATCTTGTGCAGCTATCTATGGAACATAATAAGCCGGAACTTTCTAAAACTTGTTTCTATGTTTGTTTCCAAAATCTAAAATAAAGCCTCATGAATGCATGCTGTCACACATATGGAACTGGTGTTAACAACACAGCAGAAATACTGGCTCTAAGTCAGAAAGCACCTGCATAAATCTTTGAAAACAGTGCCTGTGCCACACCTAACACAAGTGTGGCTTCAATATCCACAGTTTCCCTTCCACTCCGAGTTCACAGCTGGCTATGTCCCCCGCTGAGCTCCCCAGTACAGCTGCCTCTGCTGTGCTTGTCAGTCGCTCTCTTTCATCTCAGTTTTGAGCGTACTGTGCTAACCACAACTAATGTTACTGACAGTTAATTCCTTCTAGTCCAGTAGTCCTCAGCCTTCACAACGCCGTGACCCTTTATACAGTTCATGTTATGGTGACCCCAAACCCTAAAATTATTTTCACTGCTCCTTTCTAACTGTAATTTTGCTACCATTATGAACTGTAATATAAGTATTTTTGGAGAAAGAGGATTGCCAAAGGGGAAAGAACCCACAGGTTGAGAACCATTACGATAGTCCTGCACACTAAACACCTGTGATTCAGTGACGGTGCAGTTTTCCACACACTTTTCCTCTCTTGGGTCATTTCCTTACTTACCTAGCCTAAATTCCAGACCATCACTGTAACGGTCTGCCTTTCATGCAGTGAGTCATGCAATCTTGGCAAAGTTCCTTGCTTAAATTCAGCTCACATACTCTACACCTGCACGACATGCTTCTTCCTACTGACACTACCATCCAAGGAGTGCTTCATCTTGTCCGCTGTTTCCCAGGCTCACTTTCTCATTTCTTTATTTTGTTTCCTTTCTAGAACTGCTACTTATTTCCTACGAAATCTAAAACCAAATTCTTCTGGCCAGCCTCCTGCTCCTAAACACCTACCTGCCTGCTTCTTTCAAAATATTCCTAATTCTTCAAGCTCCAAACACCTCATGTTTCAAAAACAAGCTCTCATCAAATCTCACTGACCTTCCCTCCTCTAACATACTACCTGTAAGCTCCCACCTCTGTCCAGGCCAGCATGTCCTTCCCAAGTTCACGCTGAGTCACCTGGCTTCCACGTGAGCTTACTCGAGTGTACCAGACCAGCCACTGCTATCTGAAACTACTTAAAACTATCCCTGAGCGTCGGGTATTCTATGTTCTGATTCTTCTTTCTTATAAATGAAAAATTAAGACTCTAAAATTGTACAATCACTATTTTAGCATGTCTGAGTTTTGGGAAGAATTTCATGTTTCACATGCCAATTCAAAGAGTTGTGTATATTTTAAAAACTATATTCTAGACTCTAGAAAAGAGCCAAAATAATTGGCCGCCATGGATATAAACCCTTGCTAGCTAGCCCAACTCATACAACCTAGTAAATTAATTATTTGTCTAGCATTTAGTTCAGAATCATCAAAATTTAAGAACATGTTTTAAAAACCCAAAGAATGTTACCAGTTCATTTTCCTTAGATATTCTGATGCCAAAATTTAAAAACTAAAGAGAAAATTAGCCAAAACTGTCACAATGTCATATATTTGCAATGCTTTCAAAGCCCAACAGTGATTTTTAAAAAGAAATTAAACATGCTCTCATTGAATTTTTAAAAATCTATACAATTCAAGCTAATGAAATATTTTATTATACATAGTAAAAGTGGTGTTAAAAAAAAAAAAAAATCCAGGCCCAGATGTCTGCAGGAGTACGTGAGGAATGGATTCCACTCAAGTATAAACAGCAAAACTACTGAATGAAACCACAAATCCACCAACTCCTTATAGTAAGTGCTGACACTCGCCGAGGCTCGAATCCCTGTGGTGTCAGTAGATATATTTTAAAGTGTTACAAACATGCTTACGATGCACCGGAAGATGGAGAACAAAAGATGCAGCTGCACGCCATGTGGACGCCCAAACTTCCTAGTTTACAGCTTGTTAAGAACGACAATGTACAGAGAAAGTACTTAAAATAGTGTATGTATCACTGAGGATTTTTTTTTACTCAAATAAATACCAAATTTTGACATTTTAATGTCACAATGAAATTCAGTTTTCAATCCAAGGGGAGGGAGAATCAACTGAGACATGGTCATGAGTTCAGGATTATATATATATTACAATCTGCCTTATAATACACTTGTGGCTTTGTGATAAAAATAACTCAGGAACATATGGAATTCAAGCTAATTTGCATAACTGTCACAAGAAAAAAAAGCATTAAATGCATTTCTGAAATAAGTATTCTCATTTAATTTCAGAATCTCAAAACAGCAATAGACCTTGGCCTTGTTTTAAAAAAGTTTAGTTAGACACTAAGCTAGCTAAATAACCTTACTGAGAAGGTTTAAACATAACTGGTATAGAAAATGTTCTCTCTCTAATCTCAATTTTCCATAGGTAGAAGAGGTGAAAGGAAAAGGTAGGTAATTTCTTCAGCAGCATACATGGCTAAGTCCATCAACCACCTTAACTAGAGTGTCCATTACTGATCCCACTAAAATAATGGGGTTAACATCAAAATTGTCCTTTTCATAGCCAAAGACAGTTTCAGGGTTACAGTAAGTAAGATACTTTTGAGATATTTCGAACCCTTTAGACTTGACCCAGAGGGATCACCTCTTCACTGTAGGAGAAGGAACAGAGAGAGATATACTTGGGAAGGAGGAACAGAATAAGATCTTATCTTAACTCATTTCCAACCCTCCGAAGAAAGGAAATGGAAGAAGGTTATCAGCTAAGCTCCGTGCTCTAACCACACTACTTAATTACAGTGATCTTAGACGCAACAGCCCCCACCTCACTGGGCAGATGACAGCTCAGAATACTTTTGCAATAATTGTTTTTTGTAACGCAAAGACACTAAACAATCTGTTCATGCAATTTTCATTTATGCATTCTGCATTTCTTTGCCAATCTTGTAGCTAAGAATCTTGTTCCAGTCAATCTTAGTACGTGTAACTGGCAACTGTCGACGTAAGGCTTTGAAGGTAGTGTCCGACATCGTCTGATAATTCTCACTGATGGCAGTCTAAAAAGAAAAGTGGTTATATGTTTAAATCAAGGAAACAACAGTATATTTTCAGAATAATCTTTAAGCAGTCCATTTCACTGCTTAACAGTGAAATAAAACAGAAAACAAAAACAAAACAAAACAACAACAACAAAAAACAACCCAACATGGACTTAAAAGCTGTTTCAAAGTAGCTACCAAACTTCAGAAGGAGCCTTCAGTAGACACAGATATTTTAGGAAATCATACCTGGTATTCGTTTTCCGCAGCTTCTACAATCTTTATAAATTCTTTCGCTGTTTGCACCTCATTCTGAAATAAAAGTAAAAGTAAATAAAAATGGAACCTCTGTATTTTTCAATTAAATTTTTCTCCAGTGAGGGACTGAACACAGGGACCTGCTCATGTTGGGGAAGCATTCTACCACTAACCCATCATTTTTAAAGCCATGTATAAGTTAATGTTGTAATTTAACAAGCAGAACAGATAAAGGTTATACAAGCAAAGAAGACAATAGTGTGGCTGCAGAGATGGCTCAGAGCTTAAGAGCTCTTGCTGCAGCCAGGCATGATGGTACACGCCTTTAATCCCAGCACCTGGGGGCTAAGGCTAAGGCAGATGAATCTCTATGAGTTCAAAGTCAGCTTGGTCTACATAGTGGGTTCTAAGACAGCTAGAACTACAAAGTGAGACTTTTTCTTGTAAATAAAAATAAATGCAAAAAAGAGCTCTTGATAAACGATCAGGAAGACCCTGAAGACCCTGATCCCAGGAACTAAGTCACATGCTGGCTGCCCTACAAGCACCATTAATTCCAGCTCTAAGGGCGCTAACAACCACTTCCAGTGTCCTCATCTATGTATATCTTCATGCAGATATACACACATAGTGACAAAAAATTATAAAATTGATTATATTCTATAACCAAGGAGAACCAGGCAAAAATATTTTTTAAAGTCCACAGAACAAGCCTAGTCTTAGGATTTAATTTATTAAAATAGTGAGGTCTTAATAATATATAGAGAAAAGATCCAATTATAACATGTAAGGTATAGATTTCTAGTTATAGTATCTTTGTCTATATATTATTAAATATTTACTGTATATTATTTGTCACAGTGACTTAAAACCCAAACAATTAGGAAGAGTATATTTTAAATATAAAGTACATTTACTCCAAATATTTTTAAATAAATTTTAATATGCCAATATATGGTTGTGCTTGTTTTCCTAAAAGTGATGTAAACAGGCTTGAAGGACAATGGAAATGACCACTTCCTCATAATCAACAGCTTGTAAAATTAGCAGCCAAAACTGGCTTAAAAAGAGGGAAAAGATGACTATCTCTAACACTGGAACTACAACTGCCAGCAAGTTCATAAATAGATTAACTATCTCTATCTTGTATGATTATTACTTAGCTGGAAGCTCTGTTAAAAACAGAGACAAAACAAAACAAACAAAAGACAAGTATGTTTTCCCTCCAGCAATCATCAACCCAAAGGGGCCTTGTTAATCACTCAACAGGAAAACAACCTTCAAGAAAAGCTTTGTTCGAAAGACTCTAGAATCCCCTGAAGTCTACCCAGAATCTAAGTCAGCACAACTGTTTACTCGGCCCCTGCCCCTTCGCACATCCCCAAGGTGTGCCCCGTCGGTCTCTTTCCCTAGAGAGCCTTCCACTTAACCCTGTGGAGTTCACCATCCTGTGTCTCTCCTCAGTTCTTTCAAATGAGCTCAGAGGAGCTGAGGACCCAACAGGAGCCCAGAAAAAATCCAGGTGACGCAGTATCGATAGATGTCTATGTTTTTAAAACAAAGTGTTACTGTAAACTTCCCTAAAATTAATTTAGGATAGAAACAATATAGTGCGTATGATGTACATACTTGCATACATGTGCTTATATAACCAAAATAACAATGAAAACATTGTGAAAAAAGTCCTAAAAACTTAGATATTAATGCTTAATTACTATGACTAATTTATATAATACTAGCCTATTTTTGTACAAATCTTACAATCAATTTTCCCATAATATCAAACTCCCCAATGATGTACTATGCATCTTTGTTATTTGATTAATATTACAAATAATAATTGCAAATGGCACCTAACTTCAGGGAATTAACATCTCTTGGAAGTACAGATAAGCTGCTATGACTGGCGAAGTTTGGAAAATTATTATTTAGCATTTAAAGTAGAAATTACCTAAATAATGAAAATAAATAAAAAAAAAAAAAAAAAAAAAAAAGGAAGGTCACCACATCCACAATCCCAGCACAGGGAGGATGAGACAGGGAAACCTGAGGTTAAGAGGAAAGCCTGGCATTCACAAGAACCCATTATCAAAAGGTGCTATTTTTCTTCTTTAGTAGCATCTGGCCTAATATAACAAACATGCTTCTGTAAAATTAATATTTACAATATACTGGTACTTTCGTCTACAAACACAAACGCCTACCAGGAAATGTCACTGCCCTGATGTTACACTGTAGTATCCTTGGGGTAAAATAAAAAATCAACAAGAAAACAGATGCAAAGACAATTAAAAGAAAAGTGAAAGAACTTTAAGGAGAAATAAAAATTAAATCTACAAATTCTTGAATTTAAAGGAACTGAAATCAGAGTGTTATCTAAATGTTAGGACAAGGGTCATGGACTCATCTTCATGACCTCGTTCTAGGCAGTGGTTTCTAATATGGTAACAAGAAGCACAGACGATAGAAGAAAAAAATAACACAGTAAAACTACAGTTTTGTTCTGCAAATGACCCCATAAGAGAAATGACTTTATAAGAAGATAAAAAGGCATCACACAGGAAGGTGAAAATACAGCAGCGGGTAATGGCGCACACCTTTAATCCCAACACTTGGGAGGCAGAGGCAGGTGGACTTCTGTAAGTTTGATGTCTGCCTGGTCTACAAAGCGAGTTCCAGGACAGCCACACAAAGAAACTTTGGCTCAGAACCCCCCCCCAAAAAAAAGTGAAAATATTTACAAATTGCATAATCCCAGACATGCATCTAGAATACATAAAATTTAAAACTCAATAGCAAAAGCACAAATAAGCAATTCAGAATCAGCAAGAGGGGCCTGAGAAATGGCTCAGCTTAGCTCCTTATGGGATGTAGGTTCTAGAACAAATGGCTCCACAACCATTTGTAACTCCAGTTCCAGGGGAGCCAAAGCCCTCTTCTGGCCTCTGTGGCACAATGCACACCTACTGTACTCAGACACACATACCAGCAAAAGATACACACACATAAAACCCACTAAATAAATAAAGAGAAATAGGCAATGATTTCTGAACATGCACCAACCCTCTCCACCCTACAAAGGAAAGGTGGGAACTAGAAAAGATCATCCTGAGTGAGGTGACCCAGATGCAGAAAGACACACAGGTATGTACTCACTTATAAGTGGATATTAGTCATATAACATAGGATAAACATACTAAGATCTATACTCTAATGAAGCTAAGCAAGAAGGACATTAGGAAAGTTGCTAAATCCTCACTCAGAAAGCAAATGGGAAAGACATCAATAGTGGGAGAAAACAGGTAACAGTACAGGAGCCTAGCACAGAGGGCCTCTGAAAGACTCTACCCTGCAGGGTATCAAAGCAGATGCTGAGACTCATTGCCAAACTTTGGGCAGAGTGCAGGGAATCTTATGAAAAAAGACCTAGAGGGGACAGGAGCTCTATAAGGAGACCAACAGAACCAAAAAATCTGGTCCCAGGGGTCTTTGCAAAGACAGATACTCCAACCAAGGACCACGCATAGAGATAACCTAGAACCCCTGAACAGATGTAGCCCATGGCAGCTGAGTATTCAAGTAGGTTCCCTAGTAAGGGGAAGAGGGACTGTCTCTGACATGAACTCAGTGGCTGGCTCTTTGGTCACCTTCCCCTGTGGGGAGTATAGCTGTACTAGGCCACAGAGGAAGACAGTCCTGATGAGACCCGATAAGGTAGGGTCAGATGGAAGGGGAGGAGGACCTCCCCTATCAGTAGACTGAGGGAGGGGGATGGGAGGAGAAGAGGGAGGAAGAGTGGGATTGGGAGGGAATGAGGGAAGAAGGAGGGGGCTACCTATCCTGCTGGGATACAAAGTGAATAAATTGTAACAACAAAAAATACAAAGAAAGACAAAACAAAAACACAATGAAAGTCACCCTAATTAACTAGCAGGAAGATGGAAAAACAGACTTGATACAACTAGAGTCAACTGGGAAGAGGGACTGGTCAGCTGAGAACTGCCTTTATCAACTGGGCCTGAACATGTCTCTGGGGGCATTTTCTTTATTATAAAAACTGATGTGGGGCAGACCTGCCCACTGTGTGCAGTACCCCCGTAGGTGTTTCTGGGCTGTATAAAAAAGCAAGCTGGAGAAGCCAAGGAGGGAGGGAGGGAGGGAAGGAGGGAGGGAGGGGCCAGAGAGCGAGCAGCATTCCTCCATGGTCTCTGCTTCAGTTCCAATTATTGCTCTGAATTCCTGCCTTGGAGTCTCTAGACAATGTGGTGGCTTGAATAAGAATGTTCCTCATAGGCTCATATTTGAATACTTGGTCCCTAGTTGGCGGTTGTTTAGGGAAGATTAGGAGAAGTGTCCTTGCTGGAAAAGGTATACTAGGAGTGGGGTCTGTTTCCTGTTTGTGCATGAATGTGTGCTCTCAGCTGCTGTTCCAGTGCCATCCTTACTTGCCTGCTGCCTCCTGCCATGAGGGTGATGGAATCCTATTGCCCTGTAATAAAGCCCCAAGTCTACTCCTCCATTGATAAGTTGCCTGGGTCATGGTGCCTTATCAGAGCCATAGAAAAGTAACTAAGATGGATGGACCATAAAGTATAAGACAAAATAAACTTGTTCTTCCATGGGTTGCTTTTGTTCATGGCGTTTTATCAACACAACAGATACACTCATGACAAAGAGTTGCAACTGAAAAGTCAACTTTTAGCAAAGATCCTGAAAAGATAAAGCCTTCATCTATTGCTACTGAACGCTATAATGGTAGCCGCTTTGGGAAACTGCATGGCAATAACTGAAAATATTACACACAGCACATGAATCAATTCCTATGTACAAAAAGCATTCTATGTACCACAAAAACTGTTTAAAAAGGCCTACACAAAAAATAGTACAAGAATGTTCAAAACAACAACCTAGAGAACGGAATATTTATAATAACTGGTAATCAAAGGTATATATCCACAAAACGAAACATTATTTGGCAACAAAAGTTACCAAAGCCATAGCAGAAGACAATGATCAAGACTCTTAATGGAAAAGAAGCCAGTAACAAAACACATTATTAGTGATTAGTATAACAAAGCACACTGTGAAATGATGTGTCATGAAGTGTCCCTACAGCACTCATCAATTCGGCAAGTAGATGGCAGCAACTGCTGCACAACCACAGTACCCTCAAACTTGAGACTTTCAAAGCATGAATTGAATGTGAATTACATCCCAAAGCTGTCCAAATTTACAGAACTGCAATTTCTTACCAACTTTAATCTACTTGAAAACTCTTTAATCTAAGGGAGTCAATCATAAAGTTGCTGTTTTATAGAAATAGTAGGTTATTTTATGTTCACTGAGGAACTAATTACTTACAGACACTGTGAGGGAATCTTGTATATCTTTATGACTCACTAGCTGAACATTGCCATCTTCATAATAGTGAACCTGTTAGAGAAATAACATAAAGCAAGCACATTACAGGAATATGTTTGCAGGACACCATCTCATTTATCAACAAACATGACTACCAAATTTATCTTGAGCACAGACTTTTCTGGTAAGCTGTAAGCCTTTTAGACCTTCTGAACTCTATCTGCCTAAGAAGACTATATATTCCTATTATTCACACACACAGCAATTGTTATTTTACCTCATAGCTACTCTATTAGCACCCCAATCTGAGATGCCTAAAAACTGATCTAATATTCTCCCCCAAACATTGCTACTTTAGTGTATTTCAACCACTCATTTCCCCCAAATTTAGAAATTAATTTACTCAACAAACATTAACTGACTCATCACTGTACTATACTATATAACATTACAGACACACACACACAAAAACAAAGTTCCTGACCTCCTATCCAACACAAGCACATTAGCAGATTCTTTCAGTGGAATAAAAAGGGATTTGAGAAAAAGAACAGGACCGTGATATTTATAGGTGGACTATACAGAAAGCAGGAGGGATGGAATAGTTGAGGAAATAAAGACATAGGTAATACACCAGTCAGCTTTGGGACTTTCATGTCATGCAGATTATTTCTGGTATGGACCACAAAATGGTGTTAAACTTGAAAGTGACAAATATAGATTTAAATGTTTAAATACTGTGGTGAAAAATACATTAGGTCTGAATGAGAATGGTTGCCATAGGCCTATGTATTTGGATAGTTGAACCCCAATTGGTGGAACTTTTGGGGAAAGATTGGGTAGCGTGGTCTTGTCGGAGGAAGTTGCCCTAAGGAGTCCCAGTTGGCACCTTGTGCTGATGAATCAGGAGGTAAGCTCTTATATCCTAGCACCATGGCTGCCCGCTTGCAGCTATGCTCTGTCATGACAGTCATGGATTCACCCTCTGAAACTGTAAGCTGAAATAATCTCTTTCATCTGTGAATCGCATTGGTCATGGTGTCTTTTCACAGCAATAAAAAAGTGAGTAAGACAGGGAGTGAATTAGCTTAACAAAAAAAAATTGCAATACATGCTAGGAACTATGCTAGGCAGTGAAAGCAGAACTAGGACAGCTGGTCAAACCAAGTGACTTAACTGCCCAGGTAAAAGCTACTGAGGCCAAACTGAAGGGAAAAACAGAAACAACAAATGGCTTCCATTCACTGAGTCCTTTATGTTTCACTGTAACTATTTTATCCATGAACTAATTCTTAAATAGTCTAAAAACTTTTAAACTGTTTTTAACAGATAAAGAAATAAGCAGAAGATCAAACAACTTTCTAAAGTCAGAAAGTAACTGGCTAGATTCAAATTCATGAAATATGATTTCAAACTCCATGTTCTTAACTTCCATTCTTGGGTCCCTTAAATGAACAGGCACCAAAATATATAAAGCTAATAGAATATAAAACCAGAAAGTATACCAAACCCAGACGACAGAGCTTCGGCAGTGTTCATTTTTATTCCTTCAGAGGTTTTAACATACAGTAATTTTCACAATGGGTAATATTGTGGTGAGTGAACCCAAACAAAGATTAACCAGTACATTCCTTTGACTTATGTAGTAATATTAATATTAAAACAAGCAACTTGCTTATATCAAATGTTTTATTTAAATATTGGAAGTTACACTAAGAATCAACGTTCAACTCTAGTACATTTCACATAAAGTTATTTAAAAGCTGTATAGGAAGATATGCATGTATTACTATGCTTCACTCAACTCCACTCATTTCAGATCACAGAAAAACACATTCAACTCAAATGCTTAGTTGAACAAACTGTATGAAGAGACCAAATGGCAACATCTAATTTTAGCTCTGTTTTAGAAACTGTCAGCTATCCTTGTGGACTTTTAATGACTAGGGAATCAAGTGCCAGGTTATTTGAAAGACTTAAAAGAGTACTACTCGTTTTTCCCATTGCCCTAAAAGAAAAGCTAGAAAGGTTATGGTATAACATCAAAGTATAGGCTGCTTAATTATGACTTAGTTCAGGAGTATCTAGAGACCAGTCAATAGTCACCTTTTCATACCTGAATTTTCAAGATGCCAACCACCTGTGTGGTGGAAGGAGTGACTGTAAACTTCCACTCTGACCTCCAACGACCATTCCTTAAAAATAAAAACAGCAGCTGTAAATAAGGGTAGGGAAAATAATGAATCAATATTATTTCAGGTTTAAATTTAATGCTACAGTGTAACAGAGCACAGAAGAAAGATGATGGGCACAGATTTTTATAACCACTGAAATATTCAAGAGATTCAAAGTTTAGTTATGAGACACATTAAAACTTTACCCAAGGGGGAAAAAAACCCACAATGAATATAATTCTTAAAATATGATTCAAAACTAAGTAATATAAAATACTGCATGTGTTACTCTGAGAATACATATATACTGCCACTGACTGCAGAAAGAAAAAATTAATTCCAAAGTACATAACGGTTCTACAATCTGGGAATGATTTCCAAAGGTTCTTCAAAAAGGCATAACTACACTGAATAAATACACCCTTCCCTCAACAGAATAAATGTCCAACATGTTCTAGTTTTCACTAATACCCTCCTTTATTAATTCTGTAATTACAGATGTGTTCTTGAACTAGCATTTACTAAATTTCTAATACTGCCAGACAAGAAGAAATAGAAGTGGTGTGAAGAGTAAGAAACTCTTAAGACTAGCCTCCTCTTCTTTTTTTAAGACAGGGTCTTACCATGAGCCCAGGTAGGCTGCAATCTTACAATCCTCCTACTGTGGTCTCCTGAGTACTAGGATCTAATGATCTAACCATCTATTGATCTATCAATCTATCTATCTAGTCATACATACTATATACATATTAAGCGAAAATTATTTTTAGCTTCAAAGATAAGAGTATTCAGTGGTGACTTACAAAAGGAGTCAATTTGTAAAGTGCAATGACAGGAATAGAAAAACTCAAGAGAGTCAATTCATTTAATATATAGTAAAGCTCAAGGGAGTTTTATTTTTGGAAGTAGTAATAAGTTCCTCAAAAGATTTATAACTAAAGCTTAGTAAACATTTTTCTTTAGTAGTTCAACAGCTGACTTTATTATATATTTCCTGGCACAAAAATATAAACAATTTTCCAAAGATTTACTGACTTAGGATTATGGAGGTAAGATAAAGAAACCTCTATATGCCACAATCTGTAGGGAGCTGTAGTCTAGCTGTCACCTAGGCATATGTTTGAATATGGATGATGGATCCTAATTCCTCCAAACACTCTTGAATAGCCTTTTATGTAAGCTGGCATTTATTTCTGACATGACTAGGTATCGGAGCAGCCTTGGGTTGGGGCCCAAATTGTTCTAACTAGGGTTACTGACACTTGTAACTTTACCCTCAAGAGCACCCCAAACAATTTGACTAATGAATCAAAACTCAATATACTTGAAAGGTAAACATTTTCATCATATTTACTCTTTTGTAGTAACAACAGGGGGACCCAAAACTAAGATTTCATTTAAACTAGTAAAAAATCTTAGAGATCCTCAGAATATTATGATACACAATTTCAGAATAAAACTCAACAAATTCCCCAAACATGTGATAAGTCAATATGGGATTAGAGACTTTTATATAAACTACTGCTGTATGTGCAGTTAGGTAGGAAGATAATTCTACCTTCTCACACTGTCCAACAAAACAATGTCCACAAAAAACACCTAACCTAAGTCTAAAGAAGACTTGGGGTCCGGCCCTCCTCTCCGGCATACATCTCATACAGGAAGACCCTGTTTTCAGAGTGAGCGCCTGGGCCTGCCACCTGGTCTGCTTGCAAGTACACATGCTTGCTTAGGTTGTTGTCTGTTCCTTTCTCAAATCTCTGCTCTCCTACACTCTTTGGTGAATGTCCTCCAGCTGACTGCACTCTAGTGACTGAGACAGTCATTGAGTAATAAGTATTTTTCAAGCTCTCAAACAGCAGCAGTTTTTTTAAGTTTATACTGCTCTTAGTTACACACAAAGTTCAGTCAGAGTTACATGGAATATAAACAATGTTAAAAACAACTGCACAAAACTTTAACTTACCAAAAGTTTTTTGCTTGAAACTGATGGCTTTCAATGCATGCAATAATGGTTTGCTGCCCATCTATTTTTTTGCCATATACCTTATTGGCCAAGAAAACAAGAACAAGAGTGAGTTTAGTTAAGGCCAAACAATGTCTAACCTTAAGTATCTGTAAGATACTGCATTAAGTGGGCATAAACTATAACATATTGTCCATTTAGGTTGGACAGGTAAACAGAACCAAGAACGCGTGGTTTCATAAGCTTTTTAAGATGCCTGGAATCTACCCCAATCAAGTCTCTGAAGTATTCCAAGCAAAGCATTTTTCAGGATATGATCTACATTTCTAAACATCACTACAGCTATTGAGAAGAACAAACTCAGGTGCTAAAGAGCCTATCTAGATACAAACAACCCTAGGAAAGTTCAAAACCAAAAACCATTCAGATTTCATGCTATATTTCATTCTAAAAAAAAAAAAATAAAAATTAGTTAAATCAATGTACAAGTAACATTAACAACAGGGAATTAAGCTATAAATTAAAGTGATTAACAACAGGGAATTAAACTATAAATTCAAGTGATTCCACGTCAATTATTTTATTTGTTCAAGATTTCTGTGAGTAAATAGAAGGTAACTTAAGCTGTACACTGATAAAAAACTCAAGAGAGTGCCACCACAGCCTTTGCTCCAGGATCTATTGGAATTGAATTTAATGCACAAGTGGGCTACCATAATATACTCTTAGAAAGATAAACATTCTCAGGGAAAAAGTTATGGCTAAGTCTATACATTACTGTAAATTTCCAAGAATTGTATAAACTGTCACCCATGCATAAAGAAACAAAAGGGAAGAACTGCCCACTGACTCACAGTGCAGACCCCGTTTGGATAATGTTCTTTTACATAAGCTCGCAGTGCAGTTTCTACTGAAGTTCTCCAGGATTCAATTGCGTTTTCTGCTTCGTAGGGCCTTGGATCAGTTGCTTCCTTTCTTAAATGATCAAATTTGAAACAGACTCTGTTTTTTGGATCCAGGAACTTTCCATTTCCCAGGTCTCCATGTTCTGTTATCAACACCTTCAATTTTCAAATAAATTTAGGAAAAAATATTAACATGGACACACAGTAAAAGACACTTGCTTAAGCCCCTTCCTGAAACTGTACAATTATACTATAAGCAACTGCTTTAACTATATTATGCAAATATATTTTTTAAAAGTAGGCTACAAAGATACCGAGGATTTTCTCAATTAGTGAACATTAGCATATCTTTCCATTCAATTTTTGGATACTGAGTGGGGATTAAAAATTGGATTTCCTACTATACTCTATTGGAACTAACCATCCACCGACCTACCTACCCAAAGATCTCCAGGTTACTATTTCTGACAGTAGGCACGAGCACTTAAAAACTGAGGCCCTGTCAACCTCGTGGTTTTAATCCAGTGAGGCAGCTCTTAAGTCCTGATCTGTTTGACGCCCACAACCTTATTTGTTTTCCACATGTGCTTTTGTTTCTTATAAACTAATCACTACTGCTAAATTCCAAATTTTTAAAACAGACTATATATTTATGTACATTTAAGAAATATATGAATAACCCTTTTACTTTCTATCTTACTTAAAAAAAAATTCTCTTTTCCTCGTTCTGCAGCTATAGCCTGTGACTACTGACCTACAAGACTTTCCCATTCCTCTGATGTAAATCATGCTGACAACATAGCATGTAACTTTTCTAAAATGTTTGTGGTAACAAACGCCATAGTAGATAAATATGTACACCTATCTGTGCAGCTGCATACACATACGGTTTGTGGGCCATTGTTTTCAAAGAATGATAACAATATATAAACAAACACATTCTTAAGCACCTTGTTGGGCTAGCCCAAAGTACTGGCCCAAGATGTAATCATCTAACCAAGATGGATGACCATCTGGGATGCAGCTTCACTGGGGAGACCAAAACTGAACCTTCTATACTACTCACGAGTCTGCCGACCCTTGTCTCAACACAACTTGACCACAGCCTTCTGCTATCCTAATAGGCTGGGAACCTCTCCCCAAACTCCATGTAGTTCCTTTTGCCTAGGACAATCCCTTTTCTTAATGCTCCCCTAAACTCCTTTTTGTCAGTGTTGCATTCCCTTCTCTTGGAGATAGCCCAGTAGTTTGTACCTGAATAAAGCTTTGCCTTTTGGCCATAACAGGCTCGGTGGTCTGGTTCTCTGTTAAGTCACTCACAACTTTTCCTAAAAATAAACATCTATGGAAACCCCTCAAAGTCTACCATCTATTTCTCACCATCCTCTTTAATGGTTGCATAATATCCCACAGTGTTAACAGTGTGTTGTTGTAAATCCTTAACACTGTTCTTTTTTTTTTTTTTTTTTTTTTAAACACTGTTCTTATTTACAATGGATACTTCATAAAATTCCATTGATATATAACAATTGTATCAGAGGACAACCTTTGAGAGTCAGGTCACTCATTCTACTGTGGGTTCCAGGAATCAAAATCAGGTCATCAGACTTGTTCAGCAAGTGCTTTTATCCACTAAGCCATCTCACTGGTCCCTTATTTGTTACTATCTTTAACGTTTTTAAATCTACAGTCACGTGTAAAATTAGTGCATACCACTCTTTAAGAACTATTTTGGAAAAAAAAAAAAGAACTATTTTGGTTTTAAGTATTAAAATTATGCTAGCGCGTTAAAATGACTTTAGAAGCCATTAAACACTTTAAAGATGTATTCACTAATATAGCAAATTTTCTCCTAGAGATTTATCTAAAGAAAGCCATTATCAATGTTACCAAGAATACAAAGACACTTGATGTAGTATTTTTTGTAATGGTAACCAATTAAAGGAAAAAAAATTAAAACACCACAATCTCCAGAGAAATGAAATAACAAGTGTGCAACTAATTATGTGTATGTATGAGTGTGTCTGTTCATGTGACTGCAGGTGCCCCTGAAGACCAAAAGAGGGCATCACAACCACTACATCTGGCTAATGCTAAGAGTGACTTTGTATATTAGTTCTAGCAATAAAAATGACCATTTTAAGCAGAGTGCAGTGGCGCATGCCTATAATCCCAGCAGATGGGAGGTAGAAGCAGGCAGATCTCTGTGAGTTTGAGGCCAGCCTGGTCTACAAAGTCCAGGACAGCCAAAGCTACACAGACAAACCCTGTCTTGAAAAACAAAATGAATAAGTAAGTAAATAAGTAAATAAATAATTTTTTTTAAAATGACCATTTCAATTATTTTGCCAGTAAATGCCTAGAGTTAAAATGAGAAATGTTCCACCATTTCACATTTCTTCCAGGATAAGTTTTTATAAATGAAACAAAGAGCAGTGTGACTTGGTGTTTTATGACATACCTGGTCTTCATAGCCTTCAATTTTTACTGGTGTAAACTGGTCCAAGTTATACTGTGCAAATGCACTAAAAAAAAGAAAGGGGCCAATTACTTAAATCTGTACCAATGTTTTTAATGATCACCTGCCAGTTAATCTATACTGTACATGTATAATATACAATGTATAATGTAATCTATACTGTACATGCTTGATAAGACTGTAATTCTCTTACCTATCTTTTAGTAACTATAGCTAAAATACAGATATGACTGTTCTAAAAACCAAGTAATGATACACAGCCTTTAACTTGGCAAAAGAAAAAATATCCAGTAAATAAGTGGCCTCCTTTTCAACGTTATCATGATTTCATGATTATCAATATCTAATGTGTATATACAATTATTTAAGAAGTTAGTAAACAGACTAGGCACTGTGATAATCAAACAGTTCCTACTGCCAAAGTCTGTTTATAGTTGAACACAAGAGACTATCTAATGAGACCACTAAGCAAAAGCAGAAAGTAGAAAGTAGCCAGGCGCAGTTGAGCAATTTCCTCAGTCATCATCTATCATTACATGGATGATATTTTGTTGGCTGATTCTGACGCAGATACTTTAGAGAAAATGTTTGAGAAAACAAAAAATTCGACCACAGAAGGCAAAGATCTGCAGGCACCAACTGCATTACCCACTGAACCATCTCACCAAACCCTGGAAGATTTTGAAGACAGAATAACTATTTTGAGAGGCAAAGCACAGTGACAGAAATGTTCTTAAGATTAATGTGACAGTAGTCCATACAACAAATTACAGTGTGGCGGTTACAAACAGAAAAACTGCAGGGCTACCATAAAAGCCCAAGCAGAAACTCGGCTAAGAAAATTATGGAGAGATGGACTCAACAAGGTGTTCTCTACTCATACAAACGAAGAATAACATACTTACTTGATTATGTGATATATGTATAGGAAAGACCCAAGATATGAAAAATTATACACAGAATTCAAACTGTGTTCTCTTAAATGGATGCTATTCTATGATATCTAGGAAATGACTCCACTTAATGAAATAGATGGTGAGAATTTTACACTTTAAGGCCATAACTATTACGAGAGTAATAAATATAAAGACACCAAAGTAAAAATAAGTCACCACCTCTTGAAACTCCCAAACACAGCATTTTCAAAATGGATGGAAGTGAACACAGACATGCATACAGGAAGACAGAGTAGCTACTTGCTCTGACTTTCTCAACACAGTAATTTTCCTATGAACAACCTCCACGTGGTCAGAGTTTGTATCTGCAATGCCCACAGAGGCTCATGTTCCACAGCCCGTGCAGCTATTGTGGGAGCCTGTGGAAGTCTGAGGAAGCAAGGACTTGCGGTGGAAGCAGGTCCCTGGGGCATGGCTTTAAAAGTTATGTTCATCTTCTGGTTCTGGTGTTGCTCTTGCTTCTTGAGCCTCTGAATGGCCTCAGCTACTTGCTCCAACCACCATGATTCTTTCGCCATTATTTATAAGAACTTTCCAAAACCGTGAGTAAACTAAATCTTCCCTTGCTTAAGTTGTTCTGTCAGGTATTTTATTAGAGCAAAGCAAAAGTTATTAATACACTCACCCTTAAATTATTACTTCAAAGGTATATTAAATTATTACTTCAAAGGCAAATTAAATTACTTAAGAGTTTAGTATTCTTTTTGTTTCTGGTAAAAGCTGCATTAAAAAAAAATGTAAATACTTAAAAATAGCAATTCAGTAGGTGTTCCCAAAGCCTTTTACTACCCATAGTATCAAACCTCATGTATCTTTAACCTGGGAACAAGAAAAAGTCTAAGAAACGCTAAAAACATAAAATAAGTAAGAGACAAGGCAAGTTTTATCTGAACCTCATGATCATGAGGCAAATGCTTTATCCACTGAGCCAGTCCACAAGTTGGCACATTTTAAACAACTCAAGGCAAAGAAGGAGAAACAATGATGTCAGTGGTCTTTTTGCTCAAAAGTATTTCAGAAGACACCAAACCAGATTAATTCTCAGGCCACTTACTTGCCTACAGTATATCTCTGCATTTTACAGATACTTCACATAAGTCTAATGATCTCAACTGAACATTTAGTTTTGAGAAACTATACAAAGAATGTGAGTGATGTTATGTAGTATATAAGACAGTGGCAAATAAACAGAGAAAAGAAAATTTTACTTTGTACTTTTCCCTAACTACTCCTGTGATTTCTCAGTCTAATACATATATGTAAATGTGAATACTTATATAAATAATTAGACAAACTGTAACTGCATTTCAGAAACGCTTATGTCAAGGATTAGTATTTTAATATCACCTTTACAACATCTTTACTTTTCCAGTCATTTTAGCTATGGAAACATAAAATACTTACTGTGCTGCTCCTTCCCTGAGAAGATTATCATTATTAAGCAATAATCGAACATCTGCAAAACAATATTGTTTTATATATTTTGTTTGCTTGAATACAATAAGAAATACAGTTTGTTTTAGTTATACATTAACACCTCTGATACAAGCAAGATCAAAATATTCTAATGACCAAACTATCACAAATATGCACGACAGTATTTAACAAAGCGAAAGATTTTAGTTAGGTAACATAATAGGGAAAAAAAATCAGTTTAAATGTTGCTGCAGGCAGACATACAGTATCTCCAAAGAACTAAAGATAATCTGCATCAAAAATGGTCTGATAAAATTTCCAGAAAATACTTATGACTATGCTTGTTTGACAATACTTTCATAAATTTCAAATGAGTTGGCTCTGTAGAAAACATAATTAAACTGATAACAGTTTGTGACCAAGAGGCAGAAACAAATATTTTGTCCTTCCATACTCTTGCAAGGAACAGGTAAGTATTCCCATCTTTTCTGACTTAGGTAGTTTTCATTTCCTTAAAAATAAATAAAACAAGATAATTCTTAAGATAAAAGATTACTATATCAAGCCTTAATGTTATGGATTAAACACATCATGGGGGCTCAAGAATGATTAGCTGTAAAGGTACTTGGATGGTAGCTTGACAACTTGAGTTGGATCCTCAGAACCCATAAACCATGGTGAAAGGATAAATCAATCCATGCAAAGTTGTCCTTTGACCTTTACACAAAAGCTATGGCACACACGCCCACATATATACATATAACAAGAACAACAATAATAGTTTTTAAAGGTAGTTTGAAGACTTACCATTAAAAACCTCATTAAATTCTCCAGGAGGGGCATGGATGATGAATTTTGCTGCTATACGTACCTAAAACAAAAATGAAGATATAAATATTACAGTATACACTCAGTTAAAACAACAAAATCCCCAATTAGTATTACACAAATTTTAAAGTTCTACTGAAAATGACTTTAAAGAATGTAATATTCCTATATTCAAACTCACATTTTGACTTAACCATTTACCATAATCACACACACATATACACACACATTATACAGGCTAAATGAAGGTAAAATATCTAACTTAATACAGTCAAGAATTAAAACACAATTTTACTTCTTTTAAACCAAAGTAGGGAAACTCACAGAAGTCCCTATGTGAGAAAAAAATAATCAGATAGGTGCAATGACAACAGATGAGTAACCAAAACTAGGTAGAGTGGATGCAAATTCCAAGGTACAGAATACCCTGAGCTTCTGGTCCCAAACACTTAGAATCTTAATCCAAATACAAACCTTTATGAGCAAACCTATTCAAAACTACACAAAGTACTCTTAAGACTTAGCGAACAAACAAAAACTCTAAGCATAATATGTGAATGGATATTTTTAAGTATAAGACACACATACACACACATGTTCAGTATTCTTCATCAGAATATAGATAAAGAAATCAGGAAATACTATTCTACGCAAAACAGAAAGGCTAGGATAAAAAGATTGCTGGTGCAAGCTCAAAACAAGCACTCTATAAAACTTACAGGAATGTAACCCTGTACATTGTATAACCAATATGGAAAATATTTGGCACTTACAAAGCTAGGCAAATACTCTAAAACACTATCATTCCAAATTATTTCACATACACACAATTACATTCACACTGAAACTTATTCAAAATTGTTTACCCAAATGTCCACTTACAGGCCACTGGACAAATAAACTGTGGTACGTCTATATAATGTAATTACTTAGCAATAAAAAAAATTTGATATGCGAAACAACTTGAATTTATTCTAAAGTACTGACTGTACTGGATAGAAAGAGAAACTCAAAAGGTTAGTGATGCTCTTGAAGACTTTATGCCTACAGCATTCAACTGTAGTATACATGCTCTTTAACCGACCCTGGGGTTGCTCATCCAATAAGCCCACTTTCATTTAAAGATATTGTTAAGTCTGAAGTATTTAATTCATCTTATCTATCAAAACTCATAATAACACTGTGTTCCTGTGGGTCAGCTTCATGTCTCTGTGGTTAATTAGGCAGTACAGATGGCAGTCTCACAAGCATATACCACATATACCCCTAGCTCAGGAAAAGACCTAAACTCAAAATCTGAAAGAGGGTTTTCACCAAGCATAGAAAGAGGGTCTTCGCCTTTGCACCATCATAAAGGTAGAAAACTGTGAGCAGTCCCATCTCAAGCAGGGTAGTATTCCCAGCAAAGGAGAGTGGGTAACAGTAGCCAGAAGTTTTGGGAGAGGACAGGAAAGGGGATGAGTAGAGAAAAGCAAGGAAAAGGAAGAAAGTGGGGGAGTGTGGAGGTGATGAACTTTACCACATCCAGATTTTGGTAGCAGCTTTATTTATTTATACACATGTTAAAAGTCTTCAAGAAAAGGAACAGAATACTTTTATTGTATGCCCATTTTGAAAATAAAGTTGTTTCTTCTAAAATGTTTAAGAATATTATTAAAAGGCACATTATATAGGCAGGCTGTTTCTATGGAATTTCTTATTTCTTTCTAAGTATTCAGTACTGTTATCAGTTTTGGTGAGAAAAGCTTCATTTTTGTTTTCTGTGTTTTGTTCTGTTTTTGCTGTGGGAGGCTTTTACTGCAGTTGTTAAGTGTCCAAAGTGCTCAGAATTACTGTTGAATGCACAGCTCTAAAAGGAACATCTGTACCACTCCCTCCAAGGCTCAGAGAACACTGATGAGGGGACAGAAAGATATAAGAGCCAGGAGCAGAGTGTTGCAGACCACTGTCCTCCAGGCAGGCCTGCTCACTGTACTCTTGAAGCCTCAGTAGCAAGCTACATAAGACTGGGCCCACCCTAGCTTATCGGGTCTCAGCAGGACTGGCTGCAATGTCCTCCTCTGGCCTGGTAAGGCTGCTCCTCCCTCAGGGAGGATGGTCAAAGAGGCAGCCACTGAATTCATGTCAGAGACAGTCCCTGTTCCCCTTACTAGGAAACCTACTTGGATATTGAGCTCCCATGGGCTCAGTATCTGAGCAGGGGATCTAGGTTATATCCATGAATGGACCTTGGTTGGAGGGTTAAATTGAAGGGTAGGAGGACCTCCCCTATCAGTGGACTTAGAGAGGGGCATGGGAGGAGCGGAGGGAGAAAGGTTGGGATTGGGAGAGAATGAGGGAGGGGGCTACAACTGGGATACAAAGCAAATAAAATATTATTAATATAAAAAATTTAATAAAAAGGGAATAAAGTGTAATTAAAAAAAAAGACTGGGCCCACAAACACTCCATCATAGATGGAGAGAAGTTAATGAGCCCCACTCCTTCCTGAGTATTTGCAGGCTTTTAATGGTCACTGGGGGAGGGGAAACATGTCTTCAATGATACAGCCAGCAGAAAGTGTCCATGCTCCTGTTGTAATTCTGAGATTCAAGGAGAATACCAGACAAACTAGATTACTGGTAGAGCTGCTTAGGTTTGTGGGACCCAATTCATTAAAACAAAAGGGTCAACATGTTCTTCCCTCTTTGGATGAAGAGGTAGTGATCATTGTCAAAAGAAAGATAATGAGGAACAAAGAGAGACCAGACACACAAACACCCTGGTGACACTTCTCACCTTCCAGTCTAAGACAAAAAACAAAAACAAAAACGGCTACAAAATGCAGCCTTGGTGTAGGCCTTGGTGTAGCAAGTAATTGTTTTCCCTGATATGCTTTAGGAGCATATAAGGCAGTTAGTTCCTCCTCAGGTTAGGATTATCTCCAAATGCCTCTGTATGGCATACAAAAGTGCTTATGTCCTTGACCTAAATCAGCAATTGGTAGTTACCATAGCTACCACATCTTCACTGCAATGACCCCATCACTTACTTAAATATACATGCTGTCTTTATATATTGAAATAAAATGCACATAATTATGTGCAGTCAAGCAGACAACAGAATTCCATCACTGTATAAACTTCCCTCATGCCTTCACCCAATACCACAAACACACGCACCACACACACACACACACACACAGATGCAAGAGAGAGAGTGTGTGTGTACTAGTCTGTTACAGGACCAAAATATTGCTACCGACTCTTACCATTTCTGTGTATCTGAGACCTAGATGAAGAGCCTCCTATCACAGACCCCCTCTAACTGCCTAACTCCTCATCTGCACTGTCTCTGTGCCTTGTTCGTTCCTCTCTGCCCTGCATTCAAAGGTTGTCTTAAGGGCTGTTTTCACTGTGAACCCCTGTACAATACAGGTCACTGTTTTGTGTATCTTTTATCTTCAACCTCTAGGATCATATTCAGTTCAGTAAATAGTCCATAAATATTGTTTCAAAACAATTAATGGAACCTAACATTTATTGAACAGTCAAAATTATAACAGACACTCATTCCTAAGGCTTCAACCTAACGGCAGTAGCTATGCTTGCTGGGTTTTTTAAGGAAACATAGCCAACAAGATACAGATAGATACATGGGAAATGCATTCTGAGAATTGGCTCTTGTGGTTATGGTTACTAAATGGCAACAAAGGGAACCACATTATTTAGGGAAGGAAGGGCATGGAGAAGGGAAAAAGAATGAATGACAACAAAGTATAAATGGCTCACGTATATAAAGAACTCCATAGTAAAATCCATTCTTTGTATACTGTGGTGGTCTGAATTAGGCATGTCCCCCACAGGATGATGTATCTGAACATTTGACCTCCATCCAGCTGCACTCTTTTGGGGTTACAGAACCTTTAGGAGGTGAGACCTTGCTGGAGGAAGTACATCGCTGGGAACAGGCTCTGAGAACTTATAACCTTACCCTGTTTCCTATATGACAAGCCAGCTTCCTGCTCCTTCTTCCCTGACAAGATGGACTCTAGCCCTCTGAAACCATAAGCCAAAAGAAAACCTTTCTTCCTCAAGTTTCTTTAGTCACAGTATTTCTGACAGCAATAGAAAAGTAGCACCTAAAAATGAAGAAACAGGGGAGGAGAGGTACAGTTTCAAAAAGACAAAGGACCTAGATTATTACACGAACTTGCTAAGCGTGTAATAATAGTAGACTATTATTATGTAAACTGTCTTAACCTCCTCCCTCTGAAGGTAAAGAGTTGTTATGAAGCATTAAAATGGAAGTCTTAGTCATGACCACAGCTAACAATGGAAAACTGCATGTTAATAAAATAATCAAACATTTTATAAGCTTACGACTTGAATTTATTTTTAACATTAATATGTCTTACATACAGAAGTGTCAAAATTAAAATATTAAGTTTCATATATACATATATATAAATATATAAATTAGTGGCTAAGCTTCAAAATGTTTAGTTGTTTCCAAGAAAGGTATATACCTAAGAAGTGTGTGTGTGTGTGTGTGTGTATAAATTTGTCAGCTTTGTTTTTAGTTTTTACTGTGAAAGCAAAAGTGTTTTTTGTATTTTTTGTTCTATGGACTTACTTGCCTCTTTTATTGCACTATGTAGCCAAAAGCAAGCAAGAGCCTTCTCTGATAACTAACTTGAATGGTAGACTAAAGTAGTACCACTGAGGGCTGGGAGGCCAAGGGTGAGGACTGAGAGCCTCAAATCTACCTGAAATAGACCAGCTATGCCTAAAATAGTAAAATCTAGACTTTGTGAAATTTCATAAGAACTTTACCTTTGTATTTCTCAGACCTTAAAATAACAAAAATGCGTCTATTACAATGAAGCAAAGTACTATCTTCCCAAGATACGTGGTAGTTACAGACATGCAAGCAAAATACCATACACATAAAATAAAAAACAAAAAATGTATTGTATCAGTGAGATAACTCAGCAGGTAAAGGTCCTTGTTGCCCAATAGTGACTATAATGGGAATAAGGATTCTATTTGAGGTCCATTCCAC